TCCTCATTTGCCATATTCGTTTTACTTTTCTGGAGTCATTTGTTCTTTGTATACATCGCCACCAATTTGTTTTCTTTTTTTTTTTTTCTATGAATTTAAGAGTTGTCTATAGTTCTAGCTCGTCTCTATATCACTATATTTCTTATTTTATCCATTCATATGACACATTTAACTGTTTACGAGATATTTCATTTCTACTATTTGGATATTACTTTTTTGTTTATGGGTTAGGGTAAACGATTCACGTCCAAATGTTAGTATTGACCTCTAACACATTTATACTTGTTCGTTTTGAAATGTGTTTTTTTTTATTTATAAAAGCTTTGTTCATCACATATTATAATTTTAGTATCTTATCTATTCAGTAATTTATTACCAGTTCTGTTCTTTTCTATCATCATGTTCTAAGTCTAGATCCTAGATACTTAAAACTATTTGTATATTTATTTGTTGCATTTCTTCACTTATTATTACTTTCTTTTGTGCTGTTTCTAATTTTCAGCCATGATTATTATGTAAGCTGCAAATTATTCTGCTGAGATTTCTGTTTTTTGTAAATGTTTGTGCCTGACGAATATCCCTGGTCTTTATCATACTTGTCATAATCCGTTTTGTGTCTTAAATGATTGTGAACCATTCTATCATTGTGTAAAACACAATTTCTGTAATTTTTGTACATATTCTTCAATATTCTTATTATTCCTACTGTTGATGTCTCTTCTGTGCAGTATATCTCATAATTTTTTCTTGATACCTTGCCGAAAGCTTTCTGTATATCTATAAATCCAAAATATATACTTTTCTTCTGTGCTATATTTTTTCTATTATCTGTCACATTTATAGTGTGACTATGAATGTATGGCCTTATATTAACCATGGGTAACATACTAAATTTTTGAGTGCTGATACAGCAACACTGGCACAGCCTATTGCATCAACTCAGTGTGTCAACACTATTGTGTCATATAACACGGTAAGCCATTGGCACTACTTGAAAATTTGTAACCTTCCCTCCCCTACTGCGTATGTGGTCAATAGAGAGTTATTGCAGACACAGATTTTATTCTTTTATTTTGACGAATGGCATTAAACATTTTTGTATATATAAAAATAATCTATAAACTATAATTGTATTTGTTACCTATTATAGGATCCTATAATAAAAATTAAAATAAGATCATTGAAAAGAGTAAAACTTTGAATTTAATTATTTGCTCATTTAAAGAATAATTACCACATAACCCATAATACTTGTCGTACAATATGGTAGTGCAATTACTAGAATTTTAGGAGTTGTTAAACTCTTTTGCATATTATGTGTATATAAAATAGGGAATTTATGAACAATGGATTATTAGGAAATAGTGGATATCCAGTTCTCAACTTCCATTGTAGAATCTTCCGACAGCAGTTCTAAGTGCTGTATAATCTATCACAAATTGCGTCAAGAATTGTGAATGACAGAGCTTTTGGCATTTTAAAGATACTCGTATTTACCATTATAACGTGTTGAATGAGATGCAAGTTACCTTTTGTTCAAAGAATAATACCTAACAGGTTGTTCAGTTTTACATGATTGTCTTTAAGAGAGAAAACATGGAAGTACTGGCAAATGAGGGTGCTATTTGAGGGTTGATATTTGAGTGTAGTACTTTTGATTAAAAACTTTTCATTTATAAATACTAATCTATAAGCCATTAGAATTTCAAAAATTTAACCTTTGTTTTATTGTGTTATCCTGTTTATATTGTTAATCCTTTATGTTGGATATCTGTTAAATGGAATACCTAAGAACTCTATTCCACAATATCTGAAGCTGCTAGGATTATTCTTTGCTTGATTTCTTCCGTCATGACATTCTTCTTGGTGATCAGAGAGCATAAGTATGTGAATTTGCCCACCACTTCAAAGGTAGAGTTATCAAGGCTGATGTTTCTGGCTCTATTGTTGGGTGTTGATGCCATTATCTTAGTTTTCTCCTCATTTAGATGCAGGCCCATATTTTTTAAGGCATTTGACAAGGTGGTATACATTTCTTCTAGCTTGCATGTTGTGCGGGCAACTAGGCCAACATCATCTGCATATGCCAAAATTTGGGATGATTTATTAAAAATGTTTCCTCTGTTGTCTATTTGGGCATCCATGACCGCCTTTTCCAGAGCTATGTTGAAAAGGAGACACGCCAGCGCATCTCCCTGTCGCAGCAGAACATGTGTTTCAAATGCCTGTGATTGTTTGCCCTGTATTTCGAATTTGCAAACAACTTTACGCATTGTAGCCTTAACCAATCTTATCAGTTTATCAGGGATGTAGAATTCATCCATGGCTTCAAACAATTTATTTCTTAGGACACTATCATAGGCCGATTTAAAATATATGAAAAGATGGTATGTGTTGATATTGAATTCATTGGTTTTTTCCAGTATTTGCCTTAGCACAAAGATCTGGTATGAACTTTTATTTGGGATCAATTCAAGTGAGTGGCCCATAAAAAATAAAGAGACTGGTTATATCCTTATAAAAGACAATATTCTGCTAAACTATTGATATAAAGGCAGATATTGTAAAAACAGATGAAGAAGCTGTAACATCTGTTTGGTATTTACTTAATAGCTGTGCGAGACTCTGGTGGAGCTTTTCAGAAATAACACCTTTTTGAGAAAGAAGGACACCAAGTGATAATAAATCAGACAGGTTGAAAACTCAAAATTAGTTTGTTGATGTTTGATTGATGAACTAGTTAGATATATTGCGACATTGTCAGTTTTTGACAGCAGTCCGAGATTTGCAGAAAAAGCTAGAAGTGTGAAAAAAATTATGGAGAAAAATATGCAATATTTTCGTGGAATATGAATCAAAGTGATAAGAGCGATTGTAGATAGATAAGCCTCGAGAAAACTGACAATCGAAGGATCACATAAGGTGAGAGAGAGATAAAAAGAAGAAGAGATCCTGTCTCGAAAATAACAAAAATCTTTTAATAGTTTTAAAATGTTTGAATAATTATTTGAACATCACTATTACAGAAATAAATAAATTGCTTAAGTTTTTACCCAAAATTATATCAAATTATGAAGATTAGGCTTCATATTATGGCTACATTCTAAAGCCGGACAGATAGTCAACTAAAAGCGAGAGAAATTAAAGACGGATAAAATCTGTCAAGTGATTTTTTTAAGTTATAACTTAAACAATAACGAATAAGTAGGTGTATACTTTTAACTTTAACATTTTTGTTTTGTTGCGTTAACCTAGATTTAGATTTTTTTTATGTAGGTATCTTTTATTCTTTCTTTAGCGTTTAATATCTCACCACTGATTGTTAAGTTAATTATAATTTAAACAATAACAAATTTAAACAATATTTAAACATAATTTAAAAAATAACAATTTTAATTCCAAATTTTTTGTTTTTTGTTTTGTTGTATGGACCTAGATTTGAAATTTTATTTATTTATTTTTTTATAATACAGTTTTTTCTTTATTAGTTATTTTATCTGTATAAACAAAAACACATTCCAATTTATTTTTTAAGATTTGAAATTATCTGTAGACACTGTAAAAATATACAAAACGTGGCAACCAGGTAAAATACAAAATAGTCAACGCAGTTGAAAGACACTGTCATTTAGGTTAGATTCGAAAACTTTAACATACACCTTTTGTGCTCTGTCTCTTTTTGTTGTATCTTGTATTAAATCGCACTATTGCAGTGAATTGTATTGCTTGGGAACAGTCAGGTGTTACGACGGTATTACTGTGTAGTTACACTTTATTGTCGTAGCGTCAATACACATGACATACTGTAAAGTATCAGCACAAAGTGCCATAGCACACAGTGTTACACATGACTACCTTATATCCTTCTTTGTTTCCTATATTATTATTTAATATTTCATGTTTTTCCATTTTCTTTGTCATGTATGTTTCTGGTTCTTTTGTTTCTCATTTAGACTTCATTTCTGCTACTTTCTTCATTTATTCTGTGAAGCTACTTGTTTCGGGAGTTATTATTTCTAGCCTATTTTATGGGATATAGGGATTTTATTTCTTCCATGACCTCTTTTGTGCAGTCTTTTTCAATCCATGTATTTGTGCTCCTTAGTTATTACTTACTTTAAGCATATCAAAATTCTTGTTTCTTGATGTTAGTTTTAATGCCATAGGTCCTGTTTGCCCAATTGTATGTCATTCCATTCTTCTATCCTAATCATTAACTCTTTCTGGGTTAATTTTTTTTTCCTTGTGTTCAGTATTTCTACTATTTTTCCTTTATTGTCTTCATTATCTTTGTCATCAATGCCCTTTAGGTCAAGGTCCTTACCTCTTATTTCCGTCTCCAACTGAGCTATTCTGAGCTTTTGACCTCCTAGTGTTTTTTTTTAATTTTGTATTTTCTGATTTCATTTCTTTTAATTCATCTAATACTGTTCTCTGGTACTTTATATCTTTTTATGTTGCTGTTTACTCTATTTTTATTTCTTTGTATTAACCTAGAGCATTGAAAGTGTTCCCACCTGAACAAATTTGAGTAATTTACTTTTATATATCCTTGAACTTATATCTTTTAGCACACTCTGGCAACATTGGAAGAAATTCCATCATGGATTTCTGTTTATGTTGTGCTTTACTCTTGACTTGAATTGCAACAGGTATCTACTTTTATTTATTTACTTTTTTTATTCAGATTTATTTTTTGAAACACTATTTTTTCACTGCACTAGGCCTTTTTAATTTTTAGTTCCTTTGTTGATGTCACAGTACATTATTTTGCTCTATAACTCTCAATATGTGAGGTTTATTGCAGGAGCAAATCACCATACATATTTATCATAATGACACTACATTGCTACTAATTTTTTTTGAGGGTAGTGTTAATAAATCAAAAAAATATATAATATATACAAGATAACAATAATACCAATAAAGAGAATAAATATGGGAGTCCCGTAAAGACTTAATCCTTGTATAATTAATAATAAATAAATAAATAAACTTACTGTTCTTTTCCAGTAATGTCTAATAATTTTTCATAAATAGATTTCACTACATCAAATGACTTCATACTTGTTATACTGTACACTAAAACATAGCCATGGACATCTATACTATATTGTGAAGGGAATATTGAATATTCATCTTGACCTGCTGTATCTACCAATTTTAATTCATAATCTTGTGAATTAATTCTGGTAGATTTAGTAAAAGCTAAAATAAAAATTACATGTTAATGCATTACCACAAAGACTTGAAGCCTATAGTATTGGTAAATATTTAAACCATAATTAACATACATGGTGATAGTACAAAAATTGTTTCGATTTAATAAAAGTATTTTGAAAGATGCTGGAGTTCATGTCAGTCATCAAATAATTAAAATAAATGTCCAATGATGTTTAAATATTAATGTGCTAATACACCTTTTTTCATTCATTAGAAATAATCGGGAAAGAAGTAAATATATGACTACAAGAAAACAAACTGTTATAATCATTTTCTAAAATAATTAAAAATTAATTGATATTTATATTAACACATTCTTAATATCTAAGGCTATGATTATTAAAAAACTGGCACTAGTGAAAATGTAAAAAGCAGTCATAAAATTATAGTATATCTAACAAAGAAAGTATATATCTATGAAACAGAAAAGGCTTTGAAAGAAAAAGGTACTTAACTAGGAAAATCGAAAATAGAATCAATTATTAAGACTTAAGCCTGGTTTTAATATATTAACAAATTTACTATGAAGCTACTAGGTACCCCTTACAGACTACAATCTAATAATGGCAGTTATGACATTCAGATCAAAAAAATTAGGGAAATTTAATTGAAAGGAAAATACAGCAATGCCTGGGCTATTTATTATTTTTTAACTATAATAAGAAGTTGTATTATGATATCACTTTGTTTATGTCTCAAGTCAAGTTTATGTTTATGTCTAATGCCTGGACTGTTTATTATTTTTTTAACTGAAATAAGAAGTTGAATTATGATGTCACTTTGTTTAGGTAAATTCCATATAACATGCTTCATCAGCATCAGCATATTTATTAGTATTTTGGTCATAAAAATGAAATAAAGTTTCAATTGCACCTATCAATAAAATTTTAATATGAATTTCTCTGTTATTAGTCACTCAAATATGAGTAAACTAGATAGTAATTGTTAAAATATGTGCAAAACAATGTGACATTGACATGAAAACCAGAGCTGTTAGGAGATCTGTAACAATTGGGAAACAACATAAAATAAGTACTAACTGTTTTCGATTGTAGGATCATAGGAGTCCACGAACTGACCTTCTACAAACTGTATGCTCAGTGATGATTTTCCTTAAAATAGAAATACGTTAATTTGTGCCATTTATTTAATTTAGAGGATATTCTTACCTACTGATCTATAACCCATAACAGCTATTTTCCTTTGTTTTGAAGGCATAATGACCAAATTAGTTACTATGTTTCAGATTTATTAATGTTAAATGTGCCCTTTTTAGGGTGTTTTAGTATAAATGAAAGAACTCACAAAAGAAATATTATAATACGGCCATACATATATCTACATGAAAACAAATAATACATGTCTAAACAACATTCAAAAGTTATAACTGCATTGGTAATTTTGACAAAATTTTATATTCTAAACTAATTGTGTGATACATTCAGTCATCAACACCAAAGTCCAAGGTTAATGTCATTTATCGTTATCCTTATATTACAAGAATGACGTGACTGAAAGAAGAACTGTTTGAGCACGTTTTTAGTTACTTCTTATATCCTTCCATCCGAGTTGTCATAGGCGTACACAGCGTTAAAATTATTATATAATTACTAACATGCGACTATAAAGACACAATAATTACTGTGAATGATGTTTAATTTGTTAATGTATAAGTTACTATATATGAATTACAAAAATACTTTATTTTGAAAAATATAGAAAAGTACAATTCAGGGGCATTTCAGAGGTAGGCAACCGGTATCGATTATTCTGAGAATCACGGGTGCCATGTTGTCAAGCATTTAATAATTCAAGAAATCTAAATAAAATAATAAAAATGTACAAAAGATCTTAACAGAGAACTGTAAACATGAAAAAAATGAAATATAATAGCACCTTGGTACGTGATGACCGAACGTACCAATGTAATAAATAATACGAGATTTATTTTTAGGTGTTACAATTATTAAATTTCCTTTTAAACTGCAACTTTTAATTATAACATCATGCTTGAAAAGTCATCATGAGAAACATTGGTTAACTATTCTCATTTAATCGGGTACATAGTTCACTCTAATCAACAGGATTGTTTTGCTTAGCATACTTCGGATGTCTCATTATAAGAAAAAGAAGCATGAGAACAATTGAGAAACAATTCAGTGTTGCTAATTATTTGTTTTTGTTATATTAGAAAATAGGTAACTCAGTTAATTCATCCAAGCATCCTATGGATCTACAGCCCAATTCGAGCCCTGACCTCCCTCAGCAATCCTCTCCATTCTTACGTTCTGTAGCCATTCTTCTCCATGATCGGCTGCCAAGGAGATTTCTTGCGTCTTCATCCACATTATCCTTCCATTGCTTTCTCGATCTTCCAATAGAATTCTTCTCCTGCATTCTTGCATTCAATAGTTTTTTTAAACCATCTTCAATCCTATATACATGGCCTGCCCATTGAAGACACTGTAGGCGGACATACTGAGATAAAGCTAATTCTTTATATGTGTTAAGGTAGTGACGCCAAATAAGGCCAGTGTCTTAAGGCCAATTGTAAATATTTCCTTGAATATAGATATTATATACTAGATGTCACTGTATATCTTTTTCCCAGTCAAATTCGTGTACGCCATTTAGTCGGTAGTAGGTATCAAACAACAGCGCGAAGTATACTAGACACGTGTTTACTACGGTGTCGAAGTTCGGTTATAAATTTTAGGTAAGTTGTAAAATCAATATAAAGCTACTTAAATAATATATACCAAATATTATTTGTTTGTGAAGCAATAGAAAATGAATACTCTTTTAGGAACTGGTACTGTTTTTTCGCTATATTACTTCTTATTATTGTTTTTTTTTATGTTAAATAGAAAAGTAGACAGTGCCCTAATAAGGCCAATTGATTGGCCTATTAAGAGTTGACTTACCTTATTAAGAGCTGGTTGACATCGTTTAAAATATTTTTTCTTTGCAGATATGTACACCAGAAAAAAGGGCACAGTGGACCGAAGAGTCTAAAAATATTACGAAAAAACGTGTATGATTTTGTCAAAGAGACAGGAATAAGGCATCCATTCTCGGTTAAAAAGAAGATAGCTGGAAAAAAAAGGATGAAATTATTTTTTTCTAGGTGTCCTGACATTGTAAAGCGTCGGGCTCAAAAACTCAATTTGGCCAGAACCCAAAAATTGAATCGTACAGTTATTAGTGACTATTTCAAGAAATTTCGACAGATTTTATATGAGAAAGGCTTCGCAGGAAACCTGCTCAAATTTACAACATGGACGAAAAAGGTTGCCAGCTTTCACTGCATCACCAACAAACTGTATTGGCTAGTAAAGGTGCTAAAAGGGTACATATCGTTGGACTAGAGCACGGCAAAAATAAAACAATCGTGGCATGTGGCAACGGCATAGGCAACAGCATTCCGCCACTTATCATTATAAAAGGGCAACGAGTTAAACCAGAATGGTATTGTAATCTTCCAGCAGAATCAAAAATTATAATAACCAAGAAAAGAAGCATGACAGCAGATGCATTTATAGAGTGGTTAGATCACTTCTGCCGATTCAAAAATCCTGGACCAGCCCTTTTAATTTTTGATGGAGCTTCATCTCATTTAGACATTAAAATTGTAGAAGCTACAATAAAAAGAGATGTAACTCTGTTTTGTCTACCGACCAACACCACTCATGAGCTTCAACCACTGATAAAGCAGTCTTCAGGAGTTTTGAATCACTGGGATGGGGAAGTGTTAAATTTTTGGGTGAATCATAATAACGAACGTCCCATCAACCGAGCAAGATTGGGAAATATTTAGGCCGGTTTAAAAAACTCAAAGACGCAAAAAAATATCGAAGAACAGCTATCCTGCAGCGGTGTAAACAAAAATATTAAAAGCAAAGCATTCTCGAGTAGTGAGAAAAGGAAAATTAACAAAAAAAGGACTGGCCAAAGTTTTTCAAACTTACATCTCAGATGGACACAGTGACTCATCCTGGTCTTACACAAGTGGTACAGCTTCCAGCGAGGATTATAATGATGCAGTTTACACGTCAAATAAATATGATAAAAATAAGGTTGCAAAAATACGTGAGACAGAACCATGTGAAGAACTAAATGCAAGTTTTAGATCCAGTTACCAGAGATTTATTTAGTGCACGATCTCATAGCTCAGCAAAACCAAAACCAAATTTAAAAAAAAAAAATAAAAGAGGACAAGGATATATTTATATGTCCTCGATGTGTGTAAATGTGCAATATATGTACTTAATGTATTGACAAATTTTTGTTTTTAATATGAATAAAAGTTTCTTTCACTTAACTTTGTATTTATTCTTTAATTCTTAGGTTTAACATTTATTATCAAAGTAAGTTTCTTTAAAAAATAAAACTGGCCTTATTAGGTTACCAGTTCCATATAATGCCAAATATTCAAGATTTATTCAATGTTATAATTTTATATTTCTTTATTTATTTATTCAGTATTTTATCGTGACATTCGATAGCTAAAATGTTAGGCAATACGTATACAAGACTTTTCCCTCCATATTTTTGCTAAATAAAATATTACAGACATTTAAACCTTAACGTGGCCTTAATTGACGTCCTTACCTTACTGTGAAAGTACGAAATTGGTGTGTGTCGACATTCACCAGTGACATTATACCAATACATTATACCAATGCGAAACATATTGGGCATACCAATACAAGAGAATAGAGAATATATTACATTCACTACTTTTCGCAGATGATCAAGTCATTTTTGAACAAGACAGTGAGGATATGGAATATATGATAAGGAAATTAAAGGAAGAATATGAGCTTTGGGGACTCAAGATAAATATGTGCAAGACTGAATACTTATGTATTGGACCCGAGGTTGCAGATTTGAACTTAAGTTTAGAAGAAGAGACTTTTAAGTATTTATGGTCAATGATTAGCCGAGATGGTACTTGTATGAAAGATATAGAAATGAAAATAGCACAGGGAAAACAAGCCACAAGAGCACTTCATGGAGTGATATGGAACAACACTCTAACCAAAGAAAACAAAAAGAGGATCTTTCAAAGCATAATGATGAATATTACCCTATATGGAGAGGAAGTATGGCCAATGACAACAACAATACGAAATAAAATAAGAACAGTTGAACTGGACTTTATGAGAAGATGTCTACAAATCACAAGAGCGGATAGAATAAGAACGGAGGAAATATGGAACAGAATGGAAGTAAAGTCGGTTCGCTATATTTACGCGGGTTTCGGATTAAAAATTTTATTGTAAGTACCCAGTTTTAATTACCTGCTCTTTGGTGAAATATCAACTGGTCAAATGAAATGAAAAATAATCCATAACTTTTTTTAATTAAATAATAATGGAAAATCTTTTATATAATTGACAGTATAATAAGGAGAATTACTTCATTAATGGAGTCTAATGTGGCTAATATAAACCTAATAATAATTTTATATTACACTTCACACAGAAAATATGGTCTATGTATATTTGTTCCATGGAGACAATTTCTAATGAAAAATAAAAAAAATTTAACATGCCAACAAAAATGAAAATCAGTCATTATCATCAAAAATATCATAATCGTCATCATCATCACTGTCATCACCATTAATTGTTATTATGATTGGACTTATTTCGTTTATTTTATTTTCACGAGTCCACCAATCTTCTATTAGTTTCTCGCACTTGAATATACAGTTGCACCACACTTCTGGAGTTACAATTGAAAGTGCCTTTCGCCAAGTTTCCCGAACTGCGTCGTCGCTATAACCGTTAGGCCCAATATGGTTGTCATAATATTGTTTTGCTATTCCCCATATATATTCGATGGGATTAAACTGGCAATGACTGAACGAAAGTGGCTTTATATCGTAAAAAGTTTGTTGCGTGGATATTTGCCAAGAGTAATAATTCTGATTTTAAAATATGTTGTGTAAATGGTATATGTTCCTTTGTCAACCATTCTTTAATTTTATTAACAGTCCAAGAATTCGTTGGACTTTTGTTTAATACTTCAGAATGGTAAGGTGCATTGTCTAAAATAATTACGCTGGGCTCACTTAAACCTGGGAGAAGTTTTTCATGTAACCATTTTACAAACATTTCTGTGTTCATATTATCGTGATAGTCACTTGATTTTGATTTAGATGAAAATATTAAATCAGCACCTTCTATAAAACCCGATTTCCCTCCTGCATG